TGCTTGACCAATCCTCTGTTTGCTTATTACCAAAATCGGTCTCGTCGAGTTTGAGTAATCGGTCAAACCGAGTTGAGGTTTTACCATAACCCCTGCACACATCGGTCCCACCGAGATGACTATATCGGTCCATCGCAAACTCTAACGTTCATATTTTGACCTGAATTGGTCTGACCGAGTTTGCTGATTTGGTCCCACCGAGTTTAGGAATCTGTGTGTAACGGCTAGATTTTCTGTGGAGGCTATATATACCCCTCCACCCATTCTTCATTCGTGAGGAGAGCCATCAGAGCATACCTACACCTCCACTACTCATTTTCTAAGAGAGAACCACCTACTCATGTGTTGAGACCAAGATATTCAAATCCTACCATATGAATCTTGATCTCTAGCCTTCCCCAAGTTGCTTTCCACTCAAATCATCTTTCCACCATAGCCAAATCTGTGAGAGAGGGTTGAGTGTTGGGGAGACTATCATTTGAAGCACAAGAGCAAGGAGTTCATCAACAACACATCATCTCTTACCTTTTGGAGAGTGGTGTCTCCTAGATTGGTTCGGTGTCACTTGGCAGCCTCCGTCAAGATTGTGGAGTTGAACCAAGGAGTTTGTAAGGGCAGGGAGATCGCCTACTTCGTGAAGATCTATCCTAGTGAGGCAAGTCCTTCGTGGGCGATGGCCATGGTGGGATAGACAAGGTTGCTTCTTTGTGGACCCTTCGTGGATGGAGCGCTCCGTGGACTCGCGCAACCGTTACCCTTCGTGAGTTGAAGTCTTCATCAATGTGGATGTACGATAGCACCACCTATCGGAACCACGCCGAAAATCTCCGTGTCTCCAATTGCGTTTGCACACTCCAATCCCATCCCTTTACTTTCTTGCAAGTTGCATGCTTTACTTTCCGCTACTCATATACTCTTTGCATGCTTGCTTGAATTGTATTGTGCATGCTTGAAATTGTGTTAATCTACCACCTCAACTTAAAAAACTTGAAAACTGCCAACTTTGTTTGTTGAGGGTCTAATCACCCCCCTCTAGACACTTCTTCTCGATCCTTTCAGTCGCGATGTAGCCGCGGGCGCAAGGAGGCGCTGAGTTACTCATGGGCGCAGTGGTGTCGAAGTAGTGATGCGATGGGAAGAAGACATTGTGGACGACACATTGCGCCGGGGACACATCGTGAACGAAGGAACGCATCAGTGTAGCCAGCATCGGGCATGCGTAGACGGACGAATACGATGTTGACGAAACACCAACCAGGATTGCCAAGCCTCATGATATGTCATGGATGAAGGCACGCATCAGTGTTGCCAGCACCAGCATGCGTGAGGAACCTGTATGAGTTGTATGTCATGCCAAGTATTCAGAGGGCCAGCTGAGAAGAAGATCGACAACGGTTGTGGCACCAATCGGCATGGGTCCGATGTCACCAATGGTGGTCGGAGTAGGCGAAGTGGTCGGGGCAGATGACGGCGATGCTGACGACGAACTGGTGCTGGACGAAGACGAAGGGGTGGATAGGTGGCGCCGACTGCTACGGGGGTAGCAGCGGCGCTGACCAAAGAAGAGCAACGGCAACTTGGTTAGAGCACGACAGCGGTGCTCAACGTAGGCGAGAAACCCGACAGCATGATGAATACCGGGGTGGACAGTGGCGTTCCCGTGCCGAGGGAGGCGGCGTGACACATACCACGGGAAGTCAATGTGCGATGAAAGTGGAGCAGGCCGCGGTGCTACGGCCCAAAGGGGCGACGAAACGGCGGTGGGCAGGTCGGGGCGACGGCGGGAAGACCTCGGGGTGGCGTGGACCGCGTGTTGTGGCGCTACGGCCCGAAGGGGCGACCCAGCGGTGGTGCGCGGGCCAGCGATGCCGCGGGGACTGTTGGAAATATGCCCTAGAGGCAATAATAAAGTGGTTATTATTCTATTTCTTTAATCATGATAAAGATTTATTATTCATGCAGAATTGTATTGACCGGAAACTTAAATACATGTGTGGATACATAAACAAATACTGTGTCCCTAGTAAGCCTGTACTAGACTAGCTCGTTGGTTAAGAGATGGTTAAGGTTTCCTAACCATAGACATGTGTTATCACTTAATAACGGGATCACATCATTAGGAGAATAATGTGATGGACAAGGCCCATCCGTTAGCATAGCATATGATCGTTCAGTTTATTGATATCGCTTTCTTAATGTCAAATACATATTCCTTCAACCTTGAGATCATGCAACTCCCGGATATAGGAGGAATACCTTGTGTGCTATCAAACGTCAGAACATAACTGGGTGATCATAAAGATGCTTTACAGATATCTCCGAAGGTGTCTGTTGAGTTGGCATGGATCGAGATTGGGATTTGTCACTCCGTGTATCGGAGAGGTATCTCTAGGCCCTCTCAGTAATACAACATCACAAGAAGCTTGCAAGCAAAGTGACTAAGGAGTTAGTTACAAGATGATGTGTTATGGAATGAGTACAGAGACTTGCCAGTAACGAGATTGAACTAGGTATGGAGATACCGTCGATCGAATCTCGGGCAAGTAACAATACCGACAAACAAAGGGAATTATGTATGTTGTATAAAGGTTCGACCGATAAAGATCTTCGTAGAATATGTAGGAACCAATATGGGCATCCAGGTCCTGATATTGGTTATTGACCGAAGAGGCGTCCCGGTCATGTCTACATCATTATCGAACCCGTAGGGTCCGCACACTTAACGTTCGTTGACGATATAGTATTTATATGAGTTATGCGAGTTGGTGACCGAATGTTGTTCGGAGTCCCGGGTGAGATCACAGACATGATGAGGAGCTCCAGAACGGTCCGGAGGTAAAGACCGATATATAGGACGATGCTATTTGGTCACCGAAAAGGTTTGTGAATGTACCGGGTAATCATCGGATCACCTGAAGGAGGTCCGGGAGGCCCCGGGAGTTTATTGGGCCATATGGGCCAAACGAGGGGAGCACACCAGCCCACAAGGGGATGCGCGCCCCTCCTCTGGCCATAGGCCTTGGGAAGAAAAGGAAGGAGGGGAGTCGGCCTCCCCTTGCCTTCCCTCTCCTCCCCTTTCCTTTCCCCCGAGAGAAAATAAGGGGGGCGCGCCATAGGGCAGACGCTCAAGGGGCCCGACAGCCACCCTTGGGGTGCATCCTGGCTGTCTTCCCTCCCCCCACCTATATATACATAAGAGGGAGGGACACCACACACCCCACGACAATCCCCAAGCCGTGTGCGGTGCCCCTCTCCCCGGTTTCATCCTCCGTCAAGTTTTTCCACAGTGCACGGCGAAGCCCTACGGGAACAAGTTCCCCACCACCGTCATCACGCCGTCGTGCTGCCGGAACTCATCTAATCCTTCACCTTTCTTGCTGGATCGAGAAGGCGAAGACGCCATCGACCTGAACATGTGCTGAATGCAGAGGTGCCGTACGTTCGGTACTTGATCGGGGCGGATCTTGAAGGTGTACGACTACATCAACCGCGTTGATAGACGCTTCCGCTTAACGGTCTACAAGGGTACGTAAACATACTCTCCCCTCTCGTAGCTATGCATCTCCATGGATAGATCTTGCGTGTGCGTAGAAAAAAAATTTGTTTTCCATGCAACGTTCCCAACAGGGACGGCCTCGACCTCGGGCGGCGCTACAACCCGATAAGGTGTAGCGGCGGCTCGCGGGTCGGGGCAGCCGCAGGGAGAACCACTAGCCAGGGGCGGCAGCCCGATGGGAGGCGGCTTGGACCGCGTGTCGTGGCACGATAGCCCTAAGGGCGACGCAAAGGCGGCGGCGGCTACGGGGGTAGCCGGCGGAAGGTTCTCAGGCCGGCGGCGTGGACTGCGGGCAGCGACGTGACAGCCCAAAGGGGCGTTGGCAGCAGCGCCGCGAGGTCAGGACAGCCGATGCGAAGACCTCGGGGCGGCGACGCAGCGGTCCGAAGGGATGATGCGACGGCAACATGTGTCTCGATCGGCGGTAGGCTCGTGCTCGGGGACGTGCTTGGTGAAGACAGGCACGTGATCCGTTGATCAGACCGACGGCGGCGTTGTATGCGCCATGGAGAATGACGACACACATATCAGAGTCGATGGCGACGTTGTCGGTCATGTCCCGGGCGATGAAGACGAAGATGGACCGGCAATGGAGACCACGCGGATGAGCGGCCGACAGCAACGCACGAAGGCGTCCCTTGGGCGGCGCGTCCAGCCTTGCCGCGCGGTTGATGACGAAGTGGCCGGTGTAGTCGACGCCGATGTCAGAGTAGAGGAGCGGGGGTCGACGGCGGCAGCAGGCGACGCAAACCGATCTTAGATCGGAAAACCCAAAAAAATGCCGATCAAGATGACCGTCGGAAGAGAGAGAGAAAAGCCGGAGCAAGGGCTTGGGAAAAAGACTCTGTAGGGCAGCCGGCCAACACGACCGGCGGACGAACCCCAAGTACAGACGGCGCGGCCCCTGACGATGGATCGAGGTAAGGCTGATACCATGTTAAAAGGGATAGAGAAGGATTGGTGGAATTGATGTATATTGCTTGAGCCTCGTGGGCATATATGTAGGAATACAATGACCAACTTGAAGTATAAGACAAGGCAGGACAAATCCTAGTCTATCTTATGTTTCTAATGAATCAAATATACTCAACAACTACAAACCAATGGAAACACGCGAGTTCAGTGTTCAATGGTTTCATACCATTTTTACAGGATATAGATGTGCGTCTCGTTATCAAGGACCATATATAAGCCCACTGGGAGGGAAAAAAAGATAAAACCAGTGTGCATCATTTGCATACATCATCAAATTCGGCAGCGTGTAGCCACGATGACGCGGCAACACCGCTTCACTCATAAGATCAGTGACATACAATGGACGATGTACTCCCTTCGTTCGGAATTACTTGTCACAGAAATGGATGTATCTAGACGAACGGAGGGAGTATATTGGTAGGAAGGTTTGAGGATCACGCGACTTCACGTTTTAGGCCTTCAGGGGATCTCAGGCTCTGATGGTGAAGTATATCAGGCCCTCGTTTCCAGCCGGTAGCCTGGTGTTTGCCAGTTTAGCAAACTGATTAAGAAACGATCTAACAACTCTTGACATGGAAGATATATATGGTGATGCTATGCAACACACACCAAATGATATATTATTGTGCGAGCGACTTGATTTACCTTCAACATATACTTCAGGAACGTGCTGAAGCTTTTCCCAATTGGGATCTCTAACTGTTCTGCACGAACTCGTCAACATCTCATTGGAGCGACTGAGTCTGAAGCACTCAAGAGACTGCGGCAGCGTTGGAAGCGACCGAATATTCCGGCAGCGATCGAGGCCCAGGACCTTCAGTGACGTCAGGTGCTCCATTTTATCTGGCAAGGTGTCCCAGCTGCAACCGAAGATATAGAGTGAACGGAGGTGAGGGCAAAACCCACCAAGTTCTGGGCCAAGTTCTGTGCTGCAACAGTGCAGGCTGAGTGTGCTCAGATACTTTGGGCCACCATTGTGCCTACCCATCATCCAACTTGGGTATCTCAAACCATCGTAGCAGTATATGGTCAGTGATTCGAGAAGCTTCGGTGGGCATAGACCCTCTAGTACCTCTGTCTGAACTTCCTTTTCTTTTAACTCTGCTCTCTCATCATAATTCCACCACAGTTCCAATGTTCTGAGCCCTTCTTTATCGGCTAGGTTGGCTTCAAGAGCTTCCTGCTGGCTTTCAACATTTTGGAGGCCCAAGATAGTCAGTTTGCCACAAAGCTGGTTTAGGTCGCTGAGTTGCTTTAACTCGCACCCTTGTTCCTCTCTTACTTCAAATGTTTCCAGCGTTCGAAGTAATGTCAGCCTGCCAATGCTTCGAATTTCCCGAAACGGCACTCGGATTATATGTCGCAAGTTGATGAGACTAAACATATCTTCACACGAGTCAAACACCAAATCGCTAATGTTACCAAAATCTAGAACCTGCATGTGGTAAAGCTTGGTCAAAGTGCCTGGTAAAACCAGCCTGCTGTCTGAACCATATCTGGTCATAAAAGCAAGATACCCTAGATGCCTTAGCTGACCAATAGATTCTGGGACTGACAACATACCTTGATCACTAGCTATGTAAGCACCCGCAACTTCCTTAGCCTCACAAACAGACTCTTGAGGACTTTCTCCTCAACTGGTGTTCTCCCTTCTGCACTGTCAATGATGAGAGTGCGCAGGTTGTCCAATTTACATATTTTCTCATTGATCAATTCCGAACCATAGGTCTGAACAAAAACATGGCGGATGTCTGGGGGAACTTCATCTTCACATCCTTCCATTGTCCAGCTATCTCCTGACCTTTTCCACCGATTCTCAATTCTGAAACAATCACTTCCAGCGACCTTATCCGCTAAATCAAGCAACAGATCATGAACTATATAAGCGTCCGTTTTACTGGAGTACTTCCCTACTCCATGTTGCAGAAATGAGGCTGACACTAGTACATCAAAGTATCCCTGGCAAACATCTTCTGAATCCTTCCCTTCATCGCTACTTCTAGCAAACCCTTCTGCAGCCCAAAGCTTAACTAACTCATGTTGTTCCAACTGACGTCTCCGAGGAAAAATACTGCAGTAAGCGAAGCATTGTCTGACCTGTTCATCAAGATGTTGGTAGCTCCACCACAGAGCTCCCATGGTGTCATCCAAGTGGTTCCCATCTCGCGAAATTCTCCAGTAATCAATGTTTGGCCTCATACGTAGCTGCCCTCCAACAATTTTGGCCACTAGAGGCGACCCCTTTAGCTTTTTTGCAATCTGAGTCGCGATGTCTTCGAGTCTTATTCGGTCATCAGCAGCAACGCACACGTTGTGAAATGCATAGTGCTTGAACAATTTCAGTAAGACATCTTCACCTAGGACTGACATGGGAATACATCTCTGCTCTGCAGCACCCAGAGCTATCAATGCATCTTTAGTTCGGCTAGTCACCAGGATCTTGCTTCCTGCTTCTCCAGCGTTCAGCGGTGAAAGTATCTGTTGCAGCTTCTCATACTGCCTCACATCTCTATTATTGTACCAAACATCATCTAGTACCAAGAGGAACCGTTTCCCATGCAGTACCTTCTCCAAATTAGTTTGTAAGGTGTCAAGATTATTGAACTGAGGGCACGGGGTCCTGCTAGCGGCCTCAGACATCTGCCCGAAAATGGTATCCACACTAAAATCCTGAGAAACGTGAACCCACATAACAAGGTTGAAATGACCATCCTTTTGCTCACGGGCACAAACAAGTTGTGAAAGGGTTGATTTCCCAGAACCACCGATGCCATGAATGCCGATTACGGAATAACATTGAACACTCTTGGTGTCTGGTTGAGCACCTTCTTCCTTATCATGAAGCATTGCTACTATGTTATCACAATCTTTATCTCGTCCGATGACCACAGATGGAGGCCTCGCCGTAGTGACTGCACCTCGTGAGTTGGCAGGTTTGGTCAGATTAGTGTTACTTTTGTTTGTAAAGTTCATCTGTTCAAAAAATCCACATGCATCATTTATGACCTTTTCTATTTTTTCTAGGCTCTGCTTCAACTCGATTTTTGACATGCCACACTGCTGCAAAACAAAATACCAAGCGAGGAAATCTATGAATGAGAAAATATTTCTACGGATCCGAGAAACATACATTGAAAAACTGAAGGAAGTTTAATTTTCAGCTTGATTTGCAAAATAAGGTTATTTTTAATATCATCCAACCTTCCACCAACTCAGATTTTGTTCGTCACTTCGTCGCTTGTTCCAAGAAAGCTTATGGTTGTTAAGTTGTAAAGTCAGTCTGCCTCAAATAAACCGGAAAATCAAGGGTTGGATGATATTCACTTTTGGCAATTCTAACATATTTTCATGTAGTACATTTTGCACAAAAACCTTTATGCCTGAGAGAGAAAATCAGAAGAACAAACAAAGAGGTAGAAAAGCACCTCATCTTTCAGGGCATTGCACTTTTTCACGGCAGACTTCAAGAGCTTCTTCACACGATTCTTGTTCCGTCGAGGCGTGGCCACCTCTAACTTGAGATAGTCATCTTGTATCTGTTTCTCGAGACGGTAATACTCAACATCATCCAAGATGTCCTCTGCTTCGTAGAAAGCAGACTTCAGATCGCTGAACAGCTGCTCCAGACAAGGCCTGTAAGGGCTCTCCTCAACTACTTCCATCACGCGCTGTAGCAGCAAAATCTTTGGCTCCAGTTCCTTGTGCTTCCCCGAAGCATCCAAGTTGAGGACGGAGGAGGCCTTCTTGTAAAGCTCAGAGATGATGGGCGAGGCGACCCACCCAGCGGCCTTCATGGCCCACCCAACAGCGACAGCAGCCGACACCGGATCCGACATTAGAAGACGCAACTCATCGGGCGATTTGCTGGAGAGTATGCCGACATGAGAGTGAATCCACATGGAACTCCAAAAAGCAAGCGTAGCGTAGATGGGGTTGATCTAGAGGCTGGGTGTGGGGGTAAATTACCTTGGCCGAAAGCGGTGAGGGTCAGGTCAAATCCGGCGGCTGAAGGTCCGGAGATGCTTGGCTGATGGCGGTCGATTCCGTGTGACGAGGAGGTCCGGGACGGCGTTCAGCGGCTGGAGGCGGTCGGCGTGTCTAGGTTTCCGGCATCGGAGCGGTGGCCGGAAATGGAATGGCCGAGACCATAGCGCCGCTGCTGCGCGTGTGGGGCCGGCGAGAGTGAAGGGAAAGTTTTTCCAACTCTCCAGCAGCCTATTTTCCAAAAAAAAAAATGCTTATAGGCGCGGGTGCGCCGGCCGAACTGTTCGGCCGGTCCAGCCCCAGCCACCTGATAAAACGATTAAGGGCCGTTAGATCTGATCTCTGATTCGTCTTCCTCCTAGTTATCCCCCGCCACAGCTATCGTTCGACACCCCGCCATCCCCAGCGACCAAGCTTGAAGAACCACCGCGGCGTCACCGTCGCCGATTGGCGCCCTCGCCGGTCGTCCTCGTCGACGGGGCCGCTCACCGCCGCAGCTCGCCAGGGGCACTCGCCAGATGCAGCTCTGCCTTTGCATCTCAATGTGTCTCGCACCCCCCAAGATGCAGTTCCGCCGCCCGCGCTTGCCATGGATGCAACTTCGCCGCCCCCGCACTCGCCATGGATGGATCCCGCCCTCGCCACCTGTGCACGCCATGGATGCAGCTCCGTCTCGCCGACGATTGATTGGTTCCAGCAAATAGAAATGCCCGTTGTAGCATTTTTCGTTGTCGGTCGTAGCAAAATGGAGACACGGTTGCAGGAAAAAAAATGTCGTTGTCGTCGTCACCGTCGACCCTCGCAGCTCAGCTGTGATGGATGTCGCAAAACGTTATGCCGATTGTAGCAAAAAGTGGTGCTAGTTATAGCAAAACGCAATGCCGGCTATGTGTTGTAGCAAAACGTGACGCCGGTCGTAGCAAAATGCTATGCCGGTTCTAGAAAAATCTATGTCGGTTGAAGCATGTAGCAAAATGCAGCGTTTTATCATCTTCTTCCACCTCCAGCCGTCGCTGGTTGAATCTTTCTTATTTTTATAGTGTCTAGTTGTAGCTTTCTCTCTGAATGGTTGGAGCTTTTTCCAACAACCGTTGAAGCTTTTCTACCAAAAGGTTGTAGCTATTCTCTTTTAAGCAGCGCTTGGTAAGGCTTTTTGTGTCGTTTCGGTTGAAGCTTTTTTCATCGAAGGTTGTAGCATTTCATGTCAACAGTTGTAGCTTTCCGGTGATGGCGCTGACCGCTTGTAGCTTTCTCTACATCCAGTTGAAGCTTTCCATCTAGGGGGATGAAGTATTTTTTTAAACGGTTGCAACATGAGGGGGTGCGACGATTCTGTAGAAGCCTCCGGTGTCATCCATCGCCGCCCGGCTCGTCGGCGGCGAGGCAGAACCACGAGGCGTGTGGGAGTTGCAACCGACGGGAATGGGATTGGTCAACGGCCTTGCTGCATCCAATGGCGAGTGGGGCTGCAAGCGTGGCGGGGTGAGATCTACATCCATGGCAGGCGGGGATTCGATCTTCCATGGCCGACGGTGAGCTACTCACGCGCTGCAGCGATGGAGACAGCAGATGCGGGCATCGGTGCTGCGTGCTGCAACGACGGAGGTAGGAGACGAGGATGGGGCGAGACCCGCGGAGCTGCGAGACGGGGATGAGGCGAGATCCGCGGGATAACGTAGGAGGACTAGTCAACTCAGGTCCACCGCGCCACGTGGTTGCTCGCGAGTGGGTCGCGCGTGCGCACGTGGACTGGACTGTCCGAAGCTTGCGCCGACGCTTGATACGTCTCCAACGTATCTATAATTTTTTATTGTTCCATGCTATTATATTATCTATTTTGGATGTTTAATGTGAAGGAAATATGCCCTAGAGGCAATAATAAAGTTATTATTTATTTCCTTATTTCATGATAAATGTTTATTATTCATGCTAGAATTGTATTAACCGGAAACTTAGTACATGTGTGAATACATAGACAAAACATAGTGTCCCTAGTGTGCCTCTACTTGACTAGCTCGTTAATCAAAGATGGTTATGTTTCCTAACCATAGACATGTGTTGTCATTTGATGAACGGGATCACATCATTAGGAGAATGATGTGATGGACAAGACCCATTCGTTAGCTTAGCATCATGATCGTTACAGTTTTATTGGTACTGCTTTCTTCATGACTTACACATGTTCCTCAGACTATGAGATTATGCAACTCCCGAATAGCGGAGGAACACTTTGTGTGCTACCAAACGTTCCAACGTAAAAGGGTGATTATAAAGGTGCTCTACAGGTGTCTTCGAAGGTGTTTGTTGGGTTGGCATAGATCAAGATTAGGATTTGTCACGCCGTGTTTAGGAGAAGTATCTCTGGGCCCTCTCGGTAATACACATCACTATAAGCCTTGCAAGCAATGTGACTAATGAGTTAGTTACGGGATGAAGTATTACTGAACGAGTAAAGAGACTTGCCGGTAACGAGTTTGAACTAGGTCTGATGATACCGACGATCGAAACTCGGGCAAGTAACATACCGATGACAAAGGGAACAACGTATGTTGTTATGCAGTTTGACCGATAAAGATCTTCGTAGAATATGTAGGAGCCAATATGAGCATCCAGTTCCTGCTATTGGTTATTGATCAGAGATGTGTCTCGATCATGTCTACATAGTTCTCGAACCCATAGGGTCCGCACGCTTAACATTCAATGATGATTTGTATTATGAGTTATGTGATTTGATGACCGAAGTTTGTTCGGAGTCCCGGATGAGATCACGGACATGACGAGGAGTCTCAAAATGGTCGATACATAAAGATTCATATATTGGAAGGTTGCATTTGGACATCGGAATGGCTCCGAGTGGTTCGGGCATTTTTTCGGAGTACTGGGAGGTTACCGGAACTGTAGGGTTTCGTAGTAATTTCAAAAAATTTCCTACGCACACGCAAGATCATGTGATGCATAGCAACGAGAGGAGAGTGTTGTCTACGTACCCAACGCAGACCGACTGCGGAAGCGATGACACGACGTAGAGGAAGTAGTCGTACGTCTTCACGATCCAACCGATCAAGCACCGAAACTACGGCACCTCCGAGTTCGAGCACACGTTCAGCTCGATGACGATCCCCGGACTCCGATCCAGCAAAGTGTCGGGGAAGAGTTCCGTCAGCACGACGGTGTGGTGACGATCTTGATGAACTACAGCAGCAGGGCTTCGCCTAAACTCCGCTACAGTATTATTGAGGAATATGGTGGCAGGGGGCACCGCACACGGCTAAGGAATTGATCACGTGGATCAACTTGTGTCAACTTGTTTGTTTAGAGGTGCCTCTACCTCAGTATATAAAGGAGCCAAGGGGGGAGGGAGCGCCGGCCAAGAGAGAGAGGCGCAGGAGGAGTCCTACTCCTACCGGGAGTAGGACTCCCCCCCAATCCTATTCCAACTAGGATTCCCAAGGGGGAAAGAGGGAGAGGGGTGGCCGGCCACCTCTCCTAGTCCTAATAGGACTAGGGGAAGGGGGGAGGCGCGCAGCCCCCTTGGGCTGCCCCTTTCTCCTTTCCACTAAGGCCCATGAAGGCCCATATGGCTCCCGGGGGGTTCCGGTAACCTCCCGGTAACCCGGTAAAATCCCGATTTCACCCGGAACACTTCCGATGTCCAAACATAGGCTTCCAATATATCAATCTTTATGTCTCGACCATTTCGAGACTCCTCGTCATGTCCGTGATCACATCCGGGACTCCGAACAACCTTCGGTACATCAAAATGCATAAACTCATAATATAACTGTCATCGTAACCTTAAGCGTGCGGACCCTACGGGTTCGAGAACAATGTAGACATGACCGAGACACGTTTCCGGTCAATAACCAATAGTGGGACCTGGATGCCCATATTGGCTCCTACATATTCTACGAAGATCTTTATCGGTCAGACCGCATAACAACATACGTTGTTCCCTTTGTCATCGGTATGTTACTTGCCCGAGATTCGATCGTCGGTATCCAATACCTAGTTCAATCTCGTTACCGGCAAGTCTCTTTACTCGTTCCGTAATACATCATCTCACAACTAACATATTAGTTGTAATGCTTGCAAGGCTTATGTGATGTGTATTACCGAGAGGGCCCAGAGATACCTCTCCGACAATCGGAGTGACAAATCCTAATCTCGAAATACGCCAACCCAACATCGACCATTGGAGACACCTGTAGTACTCCTTTATAATCACCCAGTTACGTTGTGACGTTTGGTAGTACCCAAAGTGTTCCTCCGGTAAACGGGAGTTGCATAATCTCATAGTCATAGGAACATGTATAAGTCATGAAGAAAGCAACATACTAAACGATCGGGTGCTAAGCTAATGGAATGGGTCATGTCAATCAGATCATTCTACTAATGATGTGACCTCGTTAATCAAATAACAACTCTTTGTTCATGGTTAGGAAACATAACCATCTTTGATTAACGAGCTAGTCAAGTAGAGGCATACTAGTGACACTATGTTTGTCTATGTATTCACACATGTATTATGTTTCCGGTAAATACAATTCTAGCATGAATAATAAACATTTATCATGATTATAAGGAAATAAATAATAACTTTATTATTGCCTCTAGGGCATATTTCCTTCAGTCTCCCACTTGCACTAGAGTCAATAATCTAGATTACACTGTAATGATTCTAACACCCATGGAGCCTTGGTGCTGATCATGTTTTGCTCGTGGAAGAGGCTTAGTCAACGGGTCTGCAACATTCAGATCCGTATGTATCTTGCAAATCTCTATGTCTACCACCTGGACTAGATCCCGGATGGAGTTGAAGCGTCTCTTGATGTGTTTGGTCCTTTTGTGAAATCTGGATTCCTTTGCTAAGGCAATTGCACTAGTATTGTCACAAAAGATTTTCATTGGACCCGAT